CCTTCCCAGGCTGCCACTCCCCAGGACTTCTGGGAGTGTGGGTAGGGGGGTCTTTGTGAAGGAGACCCTCCCACCAGACAAAGAACTTCAGTCCTGGACCACCTGGCTTCGGTTGATTCAGGCCTTCCCCTTTCCCTGTCCAACCGACCTCCTTTATGCTTGACTCCAGGCCCCCTCTCCATTTACAGCTGCCCGTACCTGCCCACTGAATTAGATGTAAAAATTGATTTTTTCCACTCTCTAGTCTCAGCCGGGTTTCCTGGCTGCCGATTTCCTCTCTCTTCCATCAATTTATGATTCTTTGAACAGCTTTCCTGGTCATGTATCCCTTCCTGCTCTGCTCTGTCCCAGGCTCTCGGCCGACCACCCCTCTTGTTCTGCACTGGTCTCACAGACAAGACCCAAGCCCACACCTGAGAATCTCTGTCCTCAAGCTCTGAGCCCTAAGCAGAAGCACTTTCTCAGTTTAAGAAGTGGGGCCCTAACAGATCTAGTCCCACAGCTCCAGATAGAGAACCAGGTTAGGGAGTCTCTTATGTATTCATTGGTTCAATAAATATGGATTGGACATTTACTAGGCTCTAGGCAAATTTGCCTCTGGAAAGGGCTTCAGCTATTACACGAGAAGCTCGGTAGAGGGCACTCCTGTACTATAGCAGCTAAGCATGGGGGGGGTGGTAGGGCACCTGAACCCAGGGATCCAATCGGAAAACTCAAATAATCACACATATTATATGTGGGCGTGCAGGCACACATGCCCACGTTCTGATATTTATCCTTAAACATATTCAACGGTGGATAGGACGCTTGCCTTCACATGCCATGCCAGTATGCTTACTAAAGCAAACATAATAATGATGTGATATATTCATTGCTCCATTCACCAGATCCACTTAAAAGTTATTTTAATAGGTGGCACACTTCATTTCTAAACGCTTAAGGGAAAAACAAATATTTTAGGATACAATTTCAAAATGACTGCTAAGTTACTGTATTCTGTTTCCTTGAACTAACGGAGTCCTTTTCTGGGCGTAAAGTCATCTTGATGCAGAAGGGAAGGGAGAGGCAAGACCCAAGTGCACGCTGCTTTTTGAGAAACGTCTTATTCTGATTCATGAGGGTGAAGAAAGCGGCACCCTGCCACCAATGTTTTCCAGCCAGTGGAATCCTTGCCCCTCGGGCAGTTGTCACTATTCAAATAACTAAGTACATTATAAAACCAGTGGCTTTACAGTTAGCAAAGCTGACATTTACTGAGCACGTACTATGTGCCAGGCGCTGTGCCAAACCCTTTAAAGTGTATTATTTTTTTGTTTCTTATTTAAGTATTTATTGCATATGTTATTTATTGCATATGTTATTGTGTAAGACACAGTGCAGAGATGAGGAGCTTGAGAACAGTGAACGAGGGGTCGGCCTATGGCTAGAATGTGCGGGGAAATGCAGAGCGCCCAGCCCAGTCCCGCCACGCCGCTAGCCGTGATGGTACGTGCACGTAGAAAGAGACTCAATGTGGGCCTTGCACTTCTGACACGGTAGTAAACATTACTTCCCTTTACATAATTTCAGTATTTTTCAACTTAAATCCATATCTAAAAGAAAGTTACTAGTTGATCCAGCTGAATGACATTTTTATGTGTTAAAAGTTAAATTATCAACTGTAAAATCAACTTATCACCTGGTGAGTGAAATTAGAATGTAGAGTGGTTGCTATTCCGTGACGGTGGGTTGCTGTTTAATGACTCTGTTCTGGAAGGCTCTGTCCATGTCTATTAATTTGCTTTTTCTACTGGACAACAGACAGCCCTTTATGGCTAAACCCCACCATAGTGTGTGAGCAGTGGGGGCTGCAGTCAAACCCACTCCGGGCAGTAATTAGTGCAGCATCAGGAAGACACATCAAATGTTTCACTAAGATATTTCCTTCCTGCTATCCTTAACATCAAAGTAAGACCTGACTGGGGGTAGATGCAAGTAACAGAAAGGAGTCCTACATTAAGAGCATTTGTGGGAGCTGGATCCAGAGGGTTTCCAAATGCCCAGGTCCCAGGCTACTAATCAAAGTCCTGTCTTGGGCTGGCCCCCAGCCTGTGCCTGTGGCAGAGAGGAAGGAGAGAGAAGAAACAATCTCATGAGAAGGTGACTATCTATGGAGCAGACCTTGAAGAGAGCCAAAAAAATCACTCCCCAAAGCACAAAATCCTGTCTTCCCAGGGTTCCCAATAACCAAATGACATCATTATAAACTATGCTGATGTCTGTTACTTTTGCCTCCTCACCAGCATTTGCCCTTTTGGGAACAGATGCCTAATTATTCTTTAGGAACCACCCCTCCCCACTTCGAGGCCCTGGGCCACATCTATCGGTGTGCTCCAACCTCCTGGACAGCAGTCTTGACTCCAGAGTGAGCTAAACGGGCCAAAAGAATGTGTTTCCCAGGCTTTTGTTGCAGTTACTGGGAGAGATACACCTTTTTTCTTCTAGGATCTAAACCAAGGATGTGAGTCCAGGGGTGTCAGTAGGAAAAAGAATCAATACAGAGAAAAACAGAGGAGAGATGGAGGAAGGCCTGGTTTAAGACTTCTTTTGAGCTCCTGGATCTAGCCATACCTGAAGACCAGCCTAATCGTCAACTTTTCAATTATGTCAGTGAATGTATTTCCATTTTGTCCAACCCAATGTGAGTTGAATTTCTGTCTTTTACAACTGGATTCAGGTTGCTTACAACTTCATTCCCCTTTAAAATAGCATGTGGATGGAGTGTGGAGGGAGGAAGAACAGGCAGGCCTTTGGCCCTGGACATGGATACCATTGGGCTTGGAGCAGGTATCTACATCTAAGCTCCACCTTGACAAAGTCCCAGGTGCCGAGGCCTTGCTTTCCCCATCTGGACCCGCAAGGCCATTTCCAGTGTGACATTCCATGTCCAATCCCTGGACCCCCTCTGGATGGCCCATGACCTCGATGGCTGCTGCCACCACAGGAATCCCAAAGATGGGATGGCTTGTCTTGTCTTCTTCCGATGTGGTCTTCTCACATGTTTTGGTACCAACAAACTCATGTATTTTATCATAGCCTGTGAAAGGAAGGTAGTAAAGGAAAGCAGTTCTAGAAAATTTTGGTTTCAGGGCACCTGGCTGGTTCAGTTGGAGGAGCATGCGACTCTTGATGTCTGGGTTGTAAGTTCGAGCCCCACGTAGGGTGTAGAGATAACTTAAAAATAAAATCTTAAAAAATAAAATGAAGTTTTGGTTTTTATTCATAAATGTGATCGTTTCCACCGTGTCCCTCTTGGCCCCATTCCTGTCTTTTCTGCCTAATAAGCTGGAGTTGGAAAGATGCTATGGGCCGTTCAGCCGCTGGCTGCCTCTGCAGAGCGGCTCCGCCCCTGCTCTGTGCGCCCCCCGTAATGCACTCTCGGCTTCCTCCGCGCCCAGAGAATGTTTATTTGTTATGTGTTTCCAAACCAGAATAAAACGAATTGGAGTGAGGGGAAAGAGAAACCGGGGAAGGGGCACTGGTGTTTGTAACCCACGGTGCCACCTACTCCAGGATCCGGACACATTTTGTTTCAGCGCCCAAGTGTGTCTGGAGCCCCAGATGAAGGAGTGGTTCACCTGTGAGCAGGTGGTTCTCAGGCCTCAAAGCAGAGTGGCAGACGGCGCTTGCCCATGCTAAGGCTTGCTGGGGATGTCAGCATTGCTGGTGGAAACAAAATTAGGCCAGGGGGGCTGCCTGGGAAAGGTGAGTTGTCTTCAGTTATTTGGGGTAGGAAGGCTTGTGGCCTGGGATGCAAATGCCCGACCACTTCTTCTTCACTGTAGCCACCACCAGGCTACAAAAGCTGGGCCCACCCGGCGCTCCCTGGGCACAGGCCTGAGCTCCAAGTTCGGCAGTGGACCCGGAGGTCGGGCCGGAAAGCCTGTCAGGTAATCGTGGAGGGCCAGGGCCCCCGGCACCGCCAAGAGCGCCAGAGTGGGATGCGCCAGGGCTGGGTCAGGCGCGGGGTGCAGACTGGCGGCTCACTGTGGCCTGCGCCTTCCTTTCCCCTCTCCTGGGGACCCGATCGCACGGTCGCCTTCCCCGGCGGGGCACTTTCAACGCCCGCGCTGGGCGCTCCCCGGGCCCTCACCCCCGCCCGGGAAGAATTGGCCCTTGCCCGCCCCTCCCTGGACTCAGGATTCCGGGCCGCGCCAGCGCCTGCCGAAGGGGACCCCCCCCCCCCGCCCCCGAACCCGCTCCCCGAGGCAGGCTGTGCGGCCCCGGCTCCGAGGCTGGGGGTTCCGGGAGCCTGGAGCTATTTTTATAAGATGCGTCAGCCGGCCGGGGAGGAAGAGCCGGGCCCGGGCCCATTGTCTGGGCGCCGCGCGGGAGGGGGACGCGGAGGGCGATTTCGAACGCTCGGAAGGCGCGAAAGCCGCGCGCGCGGGCGGGGAGGTGCTCGCCGGGCCGAGGGCGGCGGGGGGGGCGGGGCCCGAGGGGGCGGGGCCGGGGGCGGAGCCGGGCGCCCTCCCGCTGCTGCAGGCTGGCGGCGGCGGCGGCGGCGGCGGCGACGACAGAGCGGGGACTGCGGGGACAGCCAGGCGGCCGCGCCGGCAGCGACGCCCGGGGAAGCCCGCGCCCCGCCTGCGCCTCCGAGGCGCGCCCGGGAGCGGGAGCGGCCCAGTGGCCCGCGAAGGCAGAGGCGAGCGCTGGGCGCCGGGAGCCGCTAGCCTGCGGGCGGCAGAGAGCCGGGCAGCGGCCGGAGCGCGGGGGCGCGGCCGGAGGCAGCCGCAGAGCGAGCCGGGGCCGGGGGAGCGCGCCGGGCGCGAGCAACCCTGCGCCGCGGCAGCGGAGGCGGCTTCGCGGGAGACAAAAGCCCGCCGGAGAAACGTGATGCCCGCCCGGCGCGGGCGCGGGGGCCGCGGCGTCTGAGTCCCCCCACGTCCCCGAGCCGTGCGCCCCGGGGACGCCAAGGCCGGGCTGGTGCCCGAGGCGGAGGGCGACAGGGGCGGCCCAGGTGCGCCCGGCCGCGTCGGGCCCGTCACTGCTCGGGGGGCGGCGCCCTCCCGTCGCCGCCGCAGTGGCCGGCGCCGCAGCGAGGAGCCATGGGCAACATCTCCTCCAACATCTCGGCCTTCCAGTCCCTGCACATCGTCATGCTGGGCTTGGACTCGGCCGGCAAGACCACGGTGCTCTACCGGCTCAAGTTCAACGAGTTCGTGAACACAGTGCCCACCATCGGCTTCAACACGGAGAAGATCAAGCTGAGCAACGGCACGGCCAAGGGCATCAGCTGCCACTTCTGGGACGTAGGCGGCCAGGAGAAGCTGCGGCCGCTGTGGAAGTCCTACAGCCGCTGCACGGACGGCATCATCTACGTGGTGGACTCGGTGGACGTGGACCGGCTGGAGGAGGCCAAGACGGAGCTGCACAAGGTGACCAAGTTCGCCGAGAACCAGGGCACGCCGCTGCTGGTCATCGCCAACAAGCAGGACCTCCCCAAGTCGCTGCCGGTGGCCGAGATCGAGAAGCAGCTGGCGCTGCACGAGCTCATCCCGGCCACCACCTACCACGTCCAGCCGGCGTGCGCCATCATCGGCGAGGGCCTCACCGAGGGCATGGACAAGCTCTATGAGATGATCCTGAAACGCAGGAAGTCCCTCAAGCAGAAGAAGAAGCGGTAATGCGCCCAGCTGCGGTGGGGAGCGAGCGGGGAGCGAGCCGGGAACGAGCGAGCGGGTCAGGGATGGATGGATGGATGGATGGATGGATGGATGGATGGACGGATGGATTGGTGGATGGGTGGATGAAGGAGAATCTGCGCCCGCGAACAAAGACAGAGAACCAAAGCAATGCTTCGAATTTTTAAAATGGAATCTGTGCACCCAGACGCAGGACTAGTGACTTAACCTGGGTGTGTACGCTGACTTGCCAGCCTGCCCTCGATCCGCCCCCACCCCCAGCTCAGGGGACCTTTTGTCTGGATGCCAGAGCTACTACTAATGGGTGGGGGGCGCTGGGGAGTGGACGTGCCTAGCCTGCTGTCCGCCCTCCCGGCCCAGGTGGAAGGCTCAGATGTCAGAGACAAAAGCGATTTCTTCCTCCCAGCGGGGCCAGAAGTTCAGGCTGCCCCGCCCTCACTGGGGGCTCCCACCTGTGAGTTACCAGAGGTATGCGGTTCCCGGAACCCTGGGAGTACCTGTTTGGGGGCATGATGTCTGTGGGAGGTGCTGGGTTGGGGGGGTAACTGCTGCCCCTTGCGTTTCATGGGCTCTGGAAGCTGGATAATTTTATGTCACAGGGCAGGCCCCTGTTGAAATTTCATTTGTCCTGCTCTGGGCCCAAACACAGTGGGGGTTTGGGCCATGAGAGGACTGCCTGGAACAATACAGCAGCCCCAGAGCTCGGGGTGTTCCACTGGCCTTGACTGGGGAATGGCCGTGAAGATGCCCCTTTCCTGGTGCTTTATGGTGGCTACGGAAGACCAGTTCAATTGAGAACTGCTTTTCAGCCTGGAATCAGACATCTTCCAGAGGGTTTGGACACTGTCCATGTGTAGGTCATTATCACACAAAGAGACCAATAAAAATTAAAAAAAAAAAACTGTTGGAGGTGGTGGCAAATGATGTATTTACTGTTTGCAGGATAGTTAAAGGTGTTTAAAGGGTAAGGCTCTTGGCGTAAATGCTGGTTGGGGTGTATGTGTAGATACAGGGACCTCCCTCTGTACTGTGTAATCGGCATAAATACCTAGACCCGTATGTGTGGAATCTTAAAATCTCTTAGCCTACTGAATGGTTTGTGTAAGCACACCAGCTGCAGATGTGTGCTGAAATGCAAGATGGTTTTTGCAAGGGATGCCTCTTGTAATACTAACCGCCTGATGATGGGTTTTGGTTTTCAGACATGTTTTTAAAAAAATTCTACAAATGAATACTCACCTTGAAAATATTCACCTTAGGGGGGAAAAAAAAGACTTTGCTCTGCCCTTTTAGATCCCTTTACGCTGCAAGTAGCAACATGTTCAAATTTCTAATTTGGTTCATTGTGGCCTATCTGGTTTAAGTATTTCATTAAAAATGTCTCGTTAGAGTATTTGATGTCATGCACCGAAAAACAAAACCCCACCTTGTTGCAAAAGCCGACCTCGTTGCATGGATTTAAGAGCGAAGGAAAAGTCCTTCCTAATCCATTCTTGTGGGAACTGGCCTTCGTAGCAAATGCAAACAATGAGTGCTTGAGATAAAAGAAAGCGTGTGATGTAATGATCACCTGTACTCAGGCACTTCGCAGTTTACTTGAAAGAGGCTTTGGAAAATAGATAAAGCAAAAAGAAAAATAAATGCATATTTTTAATAATGTAATTTAAAAATCCTTTATAATCAGGACTGAGTCTTGGTTTGCAGAAGATGTCATTTACCCTGAAACACAGTATCAAAAGGGAAACCTAACACTTAACTGTTTGATTTTTTATTTCCTCTTAAAATTCATGTTTACAGGTAGAATTATGTATATCGCCCCCTCCCCTCACTGTGAGAAATTTCTTTTACGAAGGAGGCCTATAGAAATTGGGCATGATCATGCTTGAGCGTGTGAGTTAGTCAAATTATAAATCCATGCCTATTGTCCATTGCACTCAGAAAGTTAATTTAAGAACCAGAGGTTGAAGTCCTGGCTTCCTGCCAATTCTTATGGGAAATATTTGAAAAGAGGAAACCTAGCCCATCTTCCTTTTATCTTTTGTCGGTGAATTTGGTACCTCTCTAATGCTGGTCTTTTTGTAGGAACTCAGTAGAGAAAAGAGAGCTAACGAAGTGTGAAAGCCTGCAGGATCTCGGTTTACATATCGACAGCATAGTCACTGATTTCTAAATGGGCTGGTCCCACCATCTGAAGATTCTGTATAGAGTTATTAAAAAAAGAAAATCCATCTTCCTTTATTTTCTTCACATGTAACAATTTCTTATGCACTTTGACATTTTGGTAGTTCCACACTATTGAGAGAATAATATATTTATTTTGTGACATTGCCAATGCCAAATACTGTCACCATCTCGTGCTAACCATACTTAGGTTCGAGATCACTGTTCAAATCCTGTCATGCTTAACCAACGAAGCGACATGATTTTGGGTTTTGCATTATCAAGACTTAAGGGTGCAGTCAGCTGTTCGTAATTGTGCAGTAAAGTAAAGCCCTGTGGTGTGTCCGCTAATAGTTAAGAGTCTCAGTTGATTTCTGTCATGTTTGACCTAATAATAGCCCATTTTTGTCTCTGACCAAACAGAGGAAGCGCACATCAGATCACCTTGGAGTGGTCCTGGGGGATTTCGCTCCTACATATCATCAGTGATTTATTATACCTCCTGGCCTTTGGAGAATGAATGGGTTTCACACAGAGGAAGTTGGCCTCCCCACGTGAGCTTTTGAAATTCTCATAGACACAGGGAGGCCGATTTTGTTTCAAACAGATTCTCTTCACAGATTCTCTGTCATGGTGTTGGGACGATGTCTCCTGGTTTCAGTTTTCGTTTCTACTGCTGTAATTCTCTGTCCTGAACATTCTTCTGTTCCTGTTCCCTTTTATATGCATATATGATGCTGTGAACAGAAATAAATTATTTATACAATCAAACGTGTGGGGAAGTTGTCTGGGTGGTTTTTTCGAGTTGCCCCTCTTTCTAGGCCTTCTTTGCTAAGTGACGGGATGGCTCATGAGGTGGTCTTTGGGGCCCTAATGGGGCTGGGCCAGTCTCTGCTTTGGGCAGAGATTGGTCCAGTCAGGACGCTTCAGACTCTGTGCCCTGAGCCGAGGAGTGCGAGGGCTAGATGCCCGTCCCACTGACAGGGTGCCTCTCCATGGTCCTCAGAGATCCTTCAGGAACACGGCCTCCATGCCGCGCCTGGCCTCAGCCTCTCAATTATTAAAAAGGTCATGATTGGGGCACCTGGCTGACTCAGTCCATAGAGCACGTGACTCTTGCTCTCAGGGTCATGAGTTCAGGCCCCACACTGGGTGTAGACCCTACCTTAAAAAGAAAAGGTCATGACTGTTCATCGCTTCAAAAATATTATAAGATTGTGTAAAATTGGAAGTAGCTGTGTGCTAATATAACAACAGTAGTAGTCACAAAGCTGCTCACAGTCTTGGCTTCCTCTGCTCCCATCCAGGCTAAACCATCAAGATATACAACAAGAATGCAAGACTTGAGTCCTCTGACATAGTAGGCGCCGTAAAACCATCCTGCTTTGCACGCGCTGTTGGGAAAAGGCCCACTCTCTGGAGAAAAAGTGATGGGGGCAGAATCAGGAGCATTCTGACAGGTTCAATGCACACGCACTCCTGGAAACACTTGGCAGATAGTCAGCAACAAAACCAGGTGCTGGTTGGGTCTCAGCTCTGGAGACAAAAGGATCCAGTTTCACATTCCAGCTCAAATGCTTAGGGCCCCATGATTTTACTCAACAGTCCTAAGCCTCTTGAGCCTTGATTTCCACATATGTAAAATGGGATTATCATGGCTGCTGGGGAGGATATAACACACAATAATTCAGCGAGGTGCTCATGAAGGGCCTGGCAGGGAACACGGGCTCTGCAGCTTTAGCTTTGATTATGGGCTGCCAGCAACCTGTGGAAGGGGTAATTCAACCTCACCACAGGCCTTTGCGTTAGGTCACTGCAATCTCCCTTTTAACCACACTTCTTGGTCTCCTTACCCTCTGAAACCTAGGCTGCAGACCCCAGGCCCAGGCCAGAGTGGGGTCAAGACAGCAGCTATACATTCTAACACCATCCTGGGCGTGTGGTCTTCTCTTCCAGAGCAGTGCGGGGCTGAGTGGGGGGACTACGGAGTCTGTGGATCAGACACCCTGTCCCTCCAGGCTCCAAGCGCCCCCCCAGAGTAAGGCATGGATCTTTGATAGCCGGTGGCCCCAAATCACATCGAGCATAGAATACGTGCTCAGTGTCTATGGGCTGAATGACTGAATTCTTGTGGGTTAGTTTCAGTTGTAAACTTTAAAATGGGCATTATACAAAATAAACAATGATTTCTCATGAAGTGTTTTAATTAAGTTGAAAATGGACAAAATATTAGTATCTTCTTCAAGATCATGTCATGAGATGAATCATTGCTGTGACTTGGGAGAAGGACATTGGTACTCTTACACCTAATAAAACATTTATGAACCTAGTAGTTTTTGTTTTAAAAAAATGAGCATGGCTAGATTTGTATCATTCCCGTTGCTGTAGAAGCTGACGTTTAGGAGCCAGATGGCATCAGAATGGGCACAGGTGCCATTTCTAAGTCTCGAAACCTGAAAAATCTTGAAAAACTATTTGGGGGTCCATGCTCTCCAGAGGACTAAAAATACTAGCAATCAGAAGAAGCCAAGACTGAAACCCTTGTTTTATGGTACCAACATCACAGACTGTTCCACTGTCCCATCCGTGGAATAGCGAGAGGCAAGTTATGTGCAAAGAGCAGACATATAAGATGTGATGACATGAAAGAGGGAGGTGAGAACACACCCAGAATTTGACCCGCCGACCAACTCAACGGCGCTTGGCCTGTGCTCCCTGTTCCCAGCTCTGCCTCCGAGCGCTCAGCTGATGCCCACGACCGGCATTCGCCCGCTCTGCTGTGTCAGCTGATGTGAGAGCTTTTCTGTTCTCTCTTGGAACTTACACCGTTCGTCCATGTTCACTTCTCCTTAAACAGCCTTTTCCGCCAGCTCTCCTGGCTTAGTTGAGACCTTTGAAGAATAGCATCCGCGCAAGACGTTGGAGCACTTTATACATTTGTTCTGCACAACATCTGATGGAGAATGGGGCCGCTTCCATTTAGAGGAGATAGCAGACTGAGGGCTTCTGAGAAAGTGGCTTGTTGCTTCTTGGCCAAGATTAGAAGATGTGAGAATAAAAGAGCTATGTAGTTTAACCCCAGCTCGGGTTTCAGAACATGAAATGGCTTTCTTCGAATGGTCTGACCTGTGCCACCGGGCATTAACTTTTCCTAATGAGAGCATCACAGCAGGTGCATTCTCCTTGGAGCGTGACAGCAAGCCATGGGAGAGAGAACCGAACCAGGTTATTTTTCAGGTTGCATTTGTACATAGGTTTGAGGGGACAAGCATCTCTTCGGTATTTATCCATTAAAATTACTGTAACATAGTCATGTGAAGTATTTCTATCCCGCCCTATTTCTATTCCCCATTCGTCCTGCATCATCATCATGACTATAGCCATTGCCAACCTTCACTGAGGGCTCACCGTGTGCAGGACTCCATAGCCACGCTAAGGGCTTGATCTGCTTGTTGCTGTTTTTTTTTTCTCCCAAGAGCACCAACAGATCAATTCATTAATCAAATAAATGAATCACTTGATTGTATCTGCACTTACAGATGAGATGGAGGGGAAGAGATTCGAGAATGTCCTCTGAGCCCCCGGTGGAGCCCCAGGTCCCTGAGCCCCAGAGGCTGAGCTCCCGGTGGTCCCCAGTCTGCTGCTCCTGGAGTGGGAAGCCTAGCCATTGAAGGAAGCCAGGAATCTGATTTCAGGGAGCAAAGGATGGAGGCTGGTGTCCTGCCTGCAGGACCACCCTCCTGCACCCTCCTGCCGGGGAGGGCCCTATCTCCACCCTGGCCCCAGAACTCACACCCACCGCCGCTGACATACCTGACCCCAAGCTCAGAACCTTGCCATCCCTCCCTCGGGAGCACAATCTAGGGTCTAGGAAAACACAAGCTCTCTGGTCCCACTTTCTGTCCATGAAGAATTTTATTTCCTTTCAAGAGACTGTTTGGGGGGGCAATGCCTCCCCGCTTCACACAGGGGCTTTTACAGACCCTGGGGAGCGGGGGGGCATGGAGTATCAGTGTTCTTGCTTTGGAATGTGGTCTTGACATCGAACTTTCTACCAGAGTCCTTCGTGAGGCAGAGGATGCTGGCCCTCCCTGTCCCTCAGGGTGTTTTCAAAGATAAAATGAGATACTAGGTGGGAAAACACCATCCACACGGCAGGTCCAGACGTGTGCAAGGTTGGCACAGCAGGCCTGGACTGTGGCCCCTTCTCTCCTGTGCCAACTCTAGCTTCCGGGACATCATGCTCCTCCTGTTGTTAGGGACAAGCTGAACTGCCCCCGCGTTC